TTTGAATAAAACCTTGGGAACAATTTTGCCTACACAATTTTTTCTCGAGTGGTATTGGTCATGACTATTTCACGTAAAATTTTGAAAATAAATAGAATGCAAAAATATGAATAAGAACTTCAAATTAAAAATATCAGTTTGACAATGTCAAAAAATGGTCTCTGACCTCCGAAATACCATGTTGTTGGTATTGTCCAGGTAGCAATATTGTCAGGTGAATACTGAATTTGTTGTCAAATGTGATGCCACAAGAGGTTTCAGGATTACCGGATAATACTTTTACCTGTCACGAAACGCGTTATGCCGCAGCACCACGACTCCGAAGGAGGAGTGGTGTTGTTGGTAACGTCTTGAGTGTCAGGTAAAAGTATTAGGTAATCCTGAAACATCAAGTGGTATTCAAAAGGTTATACAACGAACTAAATTTTAATACTTTAAAATTTAAAAAAATGTCTATAATAGAATTTGCCATAAATGCCACCAAGCGCGATAATCCCACAAGGCTTATCACTTATTTAGCCTCTCGTGTCATATGGGAATAATGTAGGTACAGTGAGTTGTATAACCGGTGTAATACACTCTAGTGAAATAGTCGAATGTAATACCACAAGAGGTTTCAGGATTACCGAATAATACTTTTACCTGTCACGGAACGCGTTACGCAGCAACACCACGACTACGAAGGAGGAGTGGTGTTGCTGGTAACGCCTTGAGTGTCAGGTAAAAGTATTAGGTAATCCTGAAACATCGAGTGGTATTCAGAAGGTTATACAACGAACTAAACCCCCATACTTTATTAATTTTCATTATTATTAATAGCAAATGAACAATATTGCCACCAAGCGCGATAATCCCAAAAGGCTTATCACTTCTTAAGCCTCTCGTGTCATATGGGAATAATCTACAGTGAGTTGTATAATCGCTATAATAATGATGTTGAATAGTATTATTGTATTGAATCCGCGATTACTCATTATTAGTTCATACGAGGGTAGTTGAATTAAATAAGGTAATATATAGGTAACATTTTTACAGTGTTTTTTTATTTAAATTAATGTTAGAAGGTAATTTTATTTGTTTATTGGGATTGAAAAAACGCATTAACCGCATTATGGTCTGGTTCCCTTGATTTTGCTAATTTTCCAAAAATTCAAAAAATTCTAAATTGTTACTACGTTATGGTACGCATTCAGTTTCTTGATACCACATTCATTTTTTCATTCTATTCAATTTTCCTCTCTTGAGTTTTTTCGATAGAATGTACCGTTTTTGACTTATTCACGATTTTTACCGAGAGTAAAAAGTAAAGAAGTTACAGTAATGCGTTACTTGCCAATAAGTAACGAAAATAAAGTTATCATTATTCGAAAGTATCTGTAAAGTAACGCGTAACTTTTTTCAAGTAACGATCCCAGCTCGGATAGTGAGTCTATTTGTCTACTTTTAGGCCGAAAATGTATTATTTTTGAACTCGGATAAGTGCACATATGATAAACGAAATATCGGTACCTAATGAAAAATATAGACACGATCAAATTCTGTAGATTGTTTTGCACATTATTATATTACGAAAATAAGCCAAAAAGCACTGTATAAAATATGGATTTTTTCAATATTAAATTTTGTACGGAAATTATTTCAGGAAAGTCTAAAATCTCACCTGAAAGTCGTGGTATGTTGTATCCTTAGTTTCATTTGGATCAGGAACCACATTTTCATTTTGAGCACCCCTACTTTGCCTGAGGGCCCGTTTCCGTTTCTGTTTCCGTTTCCTGGAATGAACGTGACCTGCGCTGTTTGGGCAGTGACATAGTATGATGTGTAACCTTGATTTTGGGAATCACTCTTGGCGTGCCTTCTATGATAAAAAGGAACAAATTATTCAGTTGTAAGCAAATTAATCTACTACAAAAAAAAAAATTCAACCAACAAATTCATGGACTGAAAAAATTTCAATAAGAAAAACTGTATTATAGACAATATGCTGGCCCATGCCATATATTGTATCCCCTTGTAGCAACTTAAATATTATCTATGCAGAAACATCTACAATCAATTCTACTTACTCGTTTTCGAACCAACAGTCGCAGGTGTTGCCTTAGGCCTCTTTGCAGTATTCTCCGTAGTAGGCGTGGCAAATATCTTCTTTTTGGAAGCGGACGCAATCGTTTTTGGGGTAACTGTAGTACACTTACTGGTGGATGGTGGAAATAGGCTCATACAAGATTTACCTGGAGTGCGAAGAGTTGTTTCACAACGTTGCAATTTCCGAGCGCTCAGCTTAGTTTTACGGTCCTAAAAAAAATCGATTAGAAAATATTATTACAAAATAGAATCTATGTACGTTTTCACGGGACTCGTGCAAATTTTGGATATATTCCTCGACAGTGCTACCAAAAGTCTTGAAAACTACACCGTTCTTAACCAAAAACGCTCCAGACAGATTCAACATTTGTTCTTCCAGTTGAGGTATTACTTTAGAGAGTTTATTGCGTTCTTTTTCTTCTTGCAGCAATTGACCACCTCTATTTTTAAATCTACACTATCGGACAAAAGTAAAGCAACTCTTATAAAAATATCGAATATTTAATTTTCAAATATAAAATATACATTAGCGATGAATAAAATCCTTTCAGTTTAAAAGGTCATAGTAAGCTACAGTGACAGGCTAAATATCATTATTTTCAAATGTCAAATTAACTTGTGTGCAATAATTTATATAAATAATACGCTTTATTAGTGCGACAAAAGTAGAGCAACTTTTAAGAAATCAAAATTTTATCGCATTTAACAACACAAAAACAACAACTATAGCTAAAAGCTTATTGAATGGACAATAATGAAAAAAAAAAAAACTTTATAGTTGATAGGATATCCATTGTTGGCTATGACTTCTTGGCAACAGCGCGGCATTGATGAAATTAAATTTGGGATAGTGACAATGGGCATATTAGTCCAAACCTCGTTGATTTTATCGATTAAAAACTGTTGGTTTGGAAATGTTGTGGTACGAATTTGACGTTCAACTTCTTCCCACAGGTTCTCGATAGGGTTGAGATCCGATGATTGTGCTGGCCACTGCAGAACTCGGACATTGTTCTCCTGAAACCACCCCTGCACAAGACGAGAGGTGTGCTTGGGGCCATTGTTCTGTTGAAATACGAATCGCTAAGGCATTTCCCACTAAGCATAAGGCAACATTACATTTTGGAGTATGTCCCTGTATACCAATCGATCCATAGTCCCGTCAATGAAGTGCAATGGACCTACTCCAATCCATGAAAAGCAACCCCATAAAAACACACTTCCACTTCCATGCTTTATGGTTGGTATAACGTACTTTGTTTGGAACCTCGTATTAACTGGACGTCTTACACGCCTCATTCTATCAGAATTGAAAATTTTATAACGAGTTTTGTCGCTAAATATTTTTTTTTCCCAGTCTTGAACTGTCCAATTTACATGAGGTTGTGCAAATTCGAGCCTGGCACAGCGATTTTTTTCAGAAACCAGCGGTTTCTTGGCTGGACGTCTGCTGTAAAGCTTTGCTTCAACTAATCTTCGTTGGACAGTCCTCGCACTTACTTCTAAACGAGAAATTGCAACAATTATTCTTGGTCCTGACAACCACGGATCTGTTTGGCAAACTCTCTGGATTCTCCTATCCATCGAAAATGTAGTTTTTCTAGGCCTTCCTGATTTTGGCATTTTTTCTACATGTCCACATTCATTGAAACGTGAAATTATTATGGATACACTGTATTTTGGCAAAAGAAACTGCCTGGAAATGTCAACCAAACGGCTTCCTTCCAAGAAAGCGTCTACTACCATTTGTTTTAACTCCAGACAAATTGGTTTACCTTTTGGCATATTCAAATCTGTCAAAAAGACGAATAATCTTAATTTTTAACTCAATAAAAATGTTTTCCATCTCACCTGAAACTCAAATCCCTTCTTTTTTGAAAAAATAAAAAAGTTGCTTTACTTTTGTCGCGCTAATAATGTGTATTGTTCAAATAAATTATTGCATACAATTTTGTTTGACGTTTGAAAACAATCGAATTTCGCCTGTGACAGCAGTTAACTACAACCTTTTAAACTGGGATCATTTTAGCTTCCGTTATCAACAAGTGTATTTTTGATAGTTGAATATTTTATTTTATAATAAGAGTTGCTCTACTTTTGTCCGATAGTGTATTTACTCCGGTTGCATTTTCTTCAAATTGTATCATCTAAAAAAAAATATTTTTGAAAAAAAAAACACACACAAACAAAATAGGCAATTGTATCACCTTATCCCACACACAATTCCTGGTGCTTCTTTATTATATCCAAAAGTTTGCCGTTATCTTCGTAATATTTCTTCCATTTCTGAATTTCCAATTCATGCAGGTCAAGCAAATCCTCTGTATAAAAATCATCATAAAAATACCTAAAAGTCTTCTTGTCCGCATCTGAGCAATGACATGTTGTCCAAATAGTCTGGAGTTGGTCTCTTAATTTGTCCACAAATTTTTTTATGTTGGCTTTTCTAAGCTCCTCGCATCTTTTTACTTCAATTTTAACGCTTCCAAAGTATCTAATGAGTTTTCTGTATAATGACTTCTAAATTCATCTCTATCTATTAACTCGATATCCAACATTTTCCATAGATCTTCAATTCTTGTTCTTAAATGGGACACTTCTTCTTCGGTGGATAGTTTGAGCTCTTTCATACACTTGGCGAAAAACTCCAGCATTTTTAGATTCTGGTTACTCAACATCATATCATCTGAAGACAATACCTATTGAAAAAATATTTATCAAAGTTTATTAAAAAAAAAAAAATTACAAAAATCAAACCTCTCTTTCAAAGTCGCTATTGGGTTTGTATTTGATTTCATCAACGATTTCTGTGATTTCGTGTTTCAAATTTACGAATTTTTCCTCGCGTTCAAACTTTTCTGCTTCCAATTTATCAAACTGTGCTTGGGTAGGCAATGGGGGGTACTTCAAATCAATTGCATAATTGTATTTGTTTTTTGTTAAGATTTTCCAGAGCTAGTTTCTTAGCATTAACGACAGCTTCATATCTAAATTAATTTAATAAAAAAAATATAATAAGTAAATTAATTTTTTTAACAACTCACTTATTCACGTATTTCAATAATTCTTGCTGGGCTTCGTAAAGGCTTAAACCTTCTTCCTTAATTTCAGGCAATGGTTGGTGGAGTTCGATGCACGCCTTTTCTAGTCGAGTGAAAAACTCTTGCATTTTATTGATGGTTGACGAATGAATTTGCGACATTTCGGCCACCATATCGCAAAAAATCTCATCGACCGACCTGAGATAGTCCTTATTCCACATAACGACATCTTCGCCTTTGTTACCGGCTACTTTTTTTACAATTTTACACCAGTTCAGAAAGCCTTTTTTGCTATGCTGCTCAACTTTCTCCCATAAGTTCTGCGCCCATGGCATATCCTCAATGCTAGAACAAAGAGATTGTATAGAGGATTTAAAAAAACTTTTAACAATTTTTAATATTAATTCTAAAGTCAGACTACCAGAGCCAGAACTGGAGATAACTCATTCAACTAAGGGATTAAAATGTGATACTAATAATATGCAATATTTTCTAGTTCATGAACTTTGTACTGTCACGGTATCGTCCGCCAGGCTGTCAAGAATCGATGGGGGAAAATACTAGAATCTAGCGAATTATTCTACTTTAATTTGGAAAATTAGATTATCGTGTGTATTCTAGATTTTACAGGAATAGATTTAGGGATATATATAAGAAGGCCGGCATTGATTTGTAAGTTAAAGTTTGACTGTGATACGAGTTAAATAGTGATTATTGAGTTGTAAAGTTTATTTGTTGAGTTAGTTATTAAAGTAATTAGTGTCAGAGTGTTTTGTTAAGTGGAATAAATTATTGCTGTGTTAATTGGACTTTGATTTTTGGAATAAACGAAACGAACGACGAACTCCAGATTTCTGTCAGGCAACCCAAAGCCGCGACAGTATATTCCTAGGTATATTCACTTTAAAACAAAGTAGATACTCCATTTCGAAACTACCGGATTTTAGTAAATCCTTCTTTGTAAAGTAAATACTCTGTAGAATATAATAATACTTGTAGTAGTAGTAAGTACTTCATTTTTATTCATACCACCCAATGTCGTGAAATTGTGAAAAATATGAACCATATCCTCAAGAGATTTGTTCTTGAGAAAATCATCCCAGTTAAACAGGGAAAGGAAACTTGACACTTCTTGAACATTCATTAACTTGAAATCCTTATAATAGCTATCCCCAGTCAATCCCGAGTTGGATTAGATTAGATTCATATTCGACTTCAAAAGACAGTGGTAGACGATGAATATCTTCTTCCGGAAGTAAGATCTGCTGCAAATATCTTGCATAAAAACCAGATCAAGCAAGTTATTGTCATAGACCCTGAGTTAAGGACTGTTTAGTGGAGTCATTTTTTTTTGTCTGATGGCATTTTGAAGGCTGAATGTGACTGGTTAGCTGATGACAATATAAGTGGTTTTAATGCCTGCTCCTTGTTCGAAATGTTCACAGAATTTTTCGCCGGAAAACTAGATTTTGAACTGTGATTACCATCTGACGATTTTCAGCGTTATTTTCACAACAAAACCTTTTATTCTCCGTACTGCCGAAAAGAAAGTACATGCGGAAGTTTCTATACTTTTCTGTTGGAAGTTGAGACTCATCCCCACTTTTTCAGCCACTGAAAAACATCTGGTATTTTTTATGGGTGAATTATTTAATTTATCAATTTCAATCTTTTATTTAAAAGCCAGATAATTTGAGATCATTAAAAAAAAAATCTTTATGTAAATGAATTTTTTTCTTCTCCAAATTTTCGAATGGGGGGCAGGCATTAAAATCACCCATATTTTCATCAGTTAACTAGCCACATTCATCCCTGAAAATACCAGACAAAAAAAAATGACTTGACTAAACAGTCCCAATCTCACGGTCCAACTTCGTTTGGTGAAACTACGGCCATAGGCACAGCGACTGAAGAGAATCCATCATTATGTCACTGACAGTACGGAAGATTAAAATCTTCCAGGATACAAAGTTTGTGTTCTGGATATTCTCCAGATAGGTTCTCAGTAAACTTCACATATCTTTCTGGATCACTTCAGGGTGAGAAATAAGCTGTTGCAAGCATAAAATTGTTGTTACCAATTTGAACTTTACCATAATTATTCCATATTTATGGTAACTGATAAAACTGTACTGGTTATGGTTTTACGGAGTGCTATTAGTACTCCACCTCCTCTATAAAAAGTACTTGTATCTGATGATCTGTCCTTTTGATAATAATATGTTGTACTTTTTAGTTTGGCATCATTAATAGGTCTGTTCGCACAGCAAACACAAACCAGTCAGATTGAATTTCATTCGTTGAAAACAGTCAGAAAACTAGTTTCAACCAATGACCTAAGGTCTGTTTCCACAGAAATAACAAACCAGTCAGAGTGTTTTTGATTGGTCCAAATCGCCAACAATCAGCATACAAAGCCAGACAACTACTTACTATAGTGAGATGAACAGCACTGTTTAAATTATTAGGGTTCTGCCACCTGGTGGTCAAACCATTATTCATAATAATGAAGTCATTGTTCCAAATAAAATCGCTAATGTATTTCCCACCATTGTTGGCAGGCATCCTATCCCAAAGAGGATGGATGATGACAATTCAGATCCCCCATGATTATGATTTTCTGATTAGTAAAGTCTTCTATAAGCGAATCGAGAAAATTTAAGTCGAAGGCAGTATTCAAATTACTATATATATTGCTGGATATATTGATTATATTCAAATCTCCAATTTTAGAAATAATAGGTATATTGAATTGAATCTGAAGAAAATTTTTTAGTTGTGGAAAAAATTATGTTGTCTTTGACACATGTTGCCACTCCTCCATAACCGTCATTTCTATCCTGCCTAGTAATATTGAAAGATTTTAAAGAAAAAGTTTGATTTGAATTGAGCCAAGTTTCGTTGAGCAAAATCACATCTGGATTTTCTTCCGTTATAAGATTAATTAGGTTATCTCTATTAGATCTGACACTTCGAATATTCCATTGAATTACTTTCAAATTTGTCCTATTATATATAGTTTATTATTTGTACTTATACTATAGAAAAAAACAGAAGCTGCGAATATAATGAGTCCAAAATCTTTGATTAGTTTAACCTGAATCTGAGGATTGATCCAAATCCATAGTGGATTGAGGTCTACACTCAGTCAGGAGCAGTTCCCTACAAATATTTTTATTATTATCCGACGTATTTCTAAGATAGTTGATTACAGATTGTAAATCAAAAAGTTTAAATGAATGATTAAAATGGTTTGCTGAATTTGCACTAGTAGAAGGCATTTCTTCAATTCTTCTTTGAGTAAAATTTGAAGTAGGAGATAGAGTCTGAGATGAGGGTAAGATTTGTTTTTCGGGTCTAGAATTGGGTGAAAGAAGATTTTCACTATGAGCATTACGATCATAACCTTTCTGAATTATCCTTTTTTTGGTAGTGTCTGAAGACGCCACCTGTTGAAAAGATCTTTTAATGGTGTTTGTTCTAAATGATTGAGTTCTTCTTATTTTTATAATTATTCATTAATTTATTACCCCTCTTTAGCTCGGGAAAATCGCTGGGGCTATATATATAATCCCCTTTTGTTATATAATTTTTTCTGCAAATATCATTGGCTTCGAAAAAGGTTACGTTTTCAAAGGCCATAAGTTCTTTTATATTTTTATGCCGGGACATTTTTTGTAATTAGATTTATGATTGTCTTTACAGAAAAAGCAACAAGGTTCGCAGGAGGGTTCCTCATTTTCTTGCGTATGAATTTCTCCTGAGCAACTGAAACATTTTTCTTTTCCTTGCAATTGGTACGTGTATGCCCGTATCTTAGACAACGATAACACTGTGTGACAGGCGGAATATAAATTTCGATATGTCGCTGAAGTTAGCATCAGATTCAGAAATGAGAATCATGTTTTTACAGTCGACCAAATAAGTAGTGCCACAAATAAAATAAATCAAAAAAACTATACTAAAAGATTCTGTAACATCATCAAACTTAGTGGAAATAATACTGGGGGTGATGTACGTCACATACTAAAAAATCATTTGTCCAGGGAGGGGTTCAAGGGGGTAGATTCCGCCCCAAAAAGGTAAATGAGATCAGGTATCGCCAAAATTGGGAGCACCACCAAAGTTGATAGAAATATTGCTTGAATAGATACGAGGGACATATCAGAAAAGCACATGTTTATCTCGGTGATGAAGGAGGGAAATTCAACCCCAAAGTTGACGAAAAAAATCAAACTTCTTTGAAACATTTTGTAGCAGTTTCAAAGTTGGTTCAATTATTGTTTGGATAGATACGAGTAAAATATCAAAAAAGCACATGTTTATCTCGGGGATGAAGAGGGGAAATTCAACCCCAAATTTGACGAAAAAACCAAAAGTATTTTAGATAGAAAAATTTTACATAACGGGGCAGTCTATTCCCCCTGAAGGTAAAAAGCACCGTACTTGTAGGCTCCTAGGAGACCGTTTTGTCTTTAAATACTTTTCTGTTTAGTCTCTTAACATTAACTATTTTAATTTTATCATAAGTCTCACAAGCGCTCAACAATTCGTCTTCAGTTAAATCTAAATCTACTTTTCTGGCTAAGCCTTTTGACGTGACAAAATTAAAGGGGATAGGCATATATTTTGTAACCTTTGTCTAAAAGGGTTTTATTATTTATGAATGAATTTGCGGCATTGCATGTAATAAACTGAATCGAAATTCTAGGTATTCAAGCCTTTATTGGAAATCTTCAATACGTCGGTCAAATTAAGATTAAAAATGTCTCTAGCTATTTTAATGTTATTGGATTTGCCAATGCAAAATCCGACTTTTTCGGTCGTTTCTAAATATACAATAAAGGGACCTTTATCTGTAGGCTCATAAAAAAGGTTATTTTTATTTAAATCATACGAAAGCGCTGAACGGACATCGTGTTTTTTTTTGTCAATATTCTATAATTGTCAGTTACAACTGACAATTAGCCCTAATTGTCACTTACAACTGACAATTAGCCCTAATTGTCACTTACAACTGACAATTAGCCCTAATTGTCACTTACAACTGACAATTAGCTCTAATTGTCACTTACAACTGACAATTAGCCCTAATTGTCAGTTACAACTGACAATTAGCCCTAATTGT